ATAATAAATTTTTTTCAATTTAAAAATATTAAAAATATATATTATTTTAAAGTCAAATATTTTTTATTTAAAATAATAAAAAATTATAATATAAATATATTTTTAAGGGAGAAAATATATATTATTTAATAGAAATATAAATTTATTTATATATGTTTTAAATAGTTAATTTTAATATTATTAAATAATATTTTTAAAAATATGTTTTTTTTATTTTTTATTATAAATTTTAATTATGATAATTTAAATATAAATATATAAGTTATATTAATTATTAATTTATTATATAATTTTTTTTTAAAATAAATTTAATGTATTATTTATTAATTTAGTTTTTTTATTTATTATAAATAATTTTAATTAAAATTTATAAATAAAATTTATTTAAAATATTACTATTAATAAATATATTTTATAAGATTATAAAAAAAATTATATATTATTTATTATTATAATATTATATAATTAATAAAAATATTAAATTTATTGTATTTTTTTTATTTTATTATATTATTATTAAAAAGTATTATATAAAAAGCATATATTAGAAGTTTGTTAAGAAAATAGGATTCTGTAAATTTTTTTGACCAAATTAAGATCTTATTACATTTTAATCTAATAATATTAAAAATTAAAATGTAATAAAAAATAAAATAAGTACAATTATTTTAAATAAAAATTAATTTTAAAATTTAAATTATATTTTATTTTATAATTAATAAAAGCTAATTTAATAAAAAATTTTATAATAAGTAAAATTATTTTTAATTTTAAAAATATTTTATTTAATCTAATAATATAAAATGTTAATTATTTAAAAATATTAATAATTTTAATATTTAAATTTTTTTTTAAAAAAAAATATTTTACTAATATTTTTAAAATAATATTAATGTTATTTGTAAATTATTATTATTTTAATTAATTAAAAATATTATATTTTTAATTAAATTAAAATCAAAAAATTTTTATTACTTTTGAATATTTAGTAACTTTAAATATAATAACCTTTTAATATAATTTAAAATATAATTTTACTATTTATTAATTATATATAGATTTTTAAAATTATTTATATTATTTACTTTTATAATTTAATAATTTTTAATATATTATCAATTTATTTAAAAAATAAGCATTTTTTAATAATATTTGATATATTAACTAATATTTTTAAATACTATATATAAAATAATTATTATTAGATTTCTTTTATTAATTATTAGATGTCTAAATAAATATTAATATATATGAATATAATTTTTAATAAATATATCTCAAAATTAATCATAATAATAATAAAGTTATATTTAATTTTAAAAATATATAATAAAATAAAATTTTATTTATATTTAAATTTATTAATTAAAATATTTAATAATTATAATTTAAATGATAATTTATTAAAATTATAATTTTATTATATTTTTTATAATAATTATATTTATAAAATAAATTTTATATTTATTAATTATTATTAAATTTGATATATTAAAAAAATATATTTTTTATATTAATTATATTTATTTAAAATATAATTATTTTATAATAAAAATATGAAATTATAAAAAAAATAATAATTTTAATTTTATATATTTAGAATATTGCTAAAATATATTATTATTATAAATTTTATAAATTTAATTATTATATAAATTTAAATTTAAATTTAAATATATAAGTATTTTATAATAGAAAATGAGATAATTATAAAAAAAATTATTTTAATTTTAAATTGTCTTTAGTAAAATAAGTTTAGTAATTAATTAATTTAGAAATATTTAACTTATAATATAGTTTTTAATATTATAAATAATAAGAATTTTTATTTAAATTTAATTATATTTAATTAATAGTAATACAAAATTTTATAAAACATATTATAAAAATTTTAACTTTAATTTTATGATTTTTCATAAATAAATAATATAAAATATAATAAAATTTTTACCTTATAAAAGATATTCTTTTATTAAAAAAATAAAATTTTGATTTTAAATTAATATAAAAGTTATTAATTATTATTTTTTTTTTTTGATTTATTTTAAAAATATTATAAGTTTTATTATAAATATTTTTTAATAAATAACTTAAAATTAAAATTAATTATAAGTAAAGTATAGTAAATTTAAAAAAAAAAATAAGCTATAAAAAGATAAACTATTTTATATAAATAATAATAATTATTTAATTTAAAGTATTAAATAAATAATTTATTTAAAAGATTATAATTATATAATATTAAATTATTTAATAAATTTTCTGTTAATAATATTATTAATTATAATTATTATTATATTAAAATTATAATTTTAATTTACTTAATTTTTATAATTTTATTTTTATTTTTATTTGTATATATATATATATTTTTTTAGTAATTTTAAAGAAAAAAAAAATTTTAGAAAAAAATTTAGCTAAAATAAAATATTGATGTTTTATAATAAAAAGAAAGAAAATTTCAAATTTTTTTTTTTTTAGATCTGAAATTATTTTATTAAAAAAGAAAATCATATTTAGCTTATAAATAAAAATTTCTTTTATTTATTTTAAAAAATTATATATTAATATGTAATTTAAAAGTTTATTATAATATTTATCTAAAATAATTATAATTTTAGTAAAAATATCTAAATCACAAATATTAGATATTAAAATATATATTATTATTTAAAAATTAAAATTTAAAAATTTATGTAATTTATGTACAAAAATTATTTATAAATAGTATTCATTTTGAAAATTTTTAATATTTAAAAATATTTTTTTTTTTTTTTTAATATTACATATATGAATTTGATAAGTTTTTTGATTTTAGTTATATCATCCAATAAAAAATTGAAAAATAATTTTAGTAATTACCAGCGAACTTTACACAATTCCGATTACCTTTTTTATATTCCGAAATAATTGTGAATTATAAACTGATTAGGGATAAAAAATTATTGGTTTTTATATTTTTGGTTATATTACAACATATCTACGTAACTGTACAACTTTTTCAATTTATTTTTAAGGGGGTCCAAATTCTGACCCATCTTTTTTTACAAATTCCTTTTGTCGCGACCTTACACCACAAAAAAAAATTCTTTAACAAAAAATTATTAACAAAATGTTTGAAGCGCGTTTAAGTCAAGGGTCTCTTCTTAAAAAATTACTTGAAGCCATTAAGGAGCTTGTAACAGACGCAAACTTTGATTGTAATGAGACGGGAATTGCACTTCAAGCTATGGATAACTCGCACGTCGCGTTGGTGTCACTTTTGCTTCGCTCAGAGGGGTTTCACCCATACCGATGTGACCGAGGTTTCTCTTTAGGTGTTAACTTGAACTCTTTGAGTAAGATATTGAAATGTGCAGGAAACGATGATATTATTACTTTAAAAGCCGACGACAACTCGGCGGATAGTTTAAGTTTATGCTTTGAAAGTCCAAGTATGAATATATAATTGCTTTATTTAAAAATCTTTATTAATTATGTGGTCGTTAATCTGACTTCTACGATTTCTGATTTCGCGTTAATTTGTGTAACCTTTGCATTAGGTAATGAAAGGGTCAGTGAATATGAATTGAAATTAATGGACATAGATCAAGAACACTTAAGTATTCCTGAAACTGATTATGATGCGACAATTATCATGTCTTCGACCGAATTTCAAAGAATCTGTCGTGATCTAATGGTTATCAGTGAGTCAGGTATAAAACTTGTTACATCATTATTGATTGGATATTATATTATGAAAGATTATTATTCATAAATTTTTTGTCATCTATCCTAAAGTGAGCGTTGATGTTGCAAAGGACGCGGTCGTATTTTCGGCAGAAGGTGAAATGGGTTCCGGAAGTGTAAAATTGAAACAAAATCCATCAGTTGATAAGGTTAGTTATTTCTTTGCAAATTTCAAAGCTTGCAAATTAAAGGTTAGATAATTATTAATCATTTTCGTTTATTTAGCCGGAAGAACAAGTTGTGATTGAACTCAATACTTCAGTATCACTCCAATTTTCCCTTAAATATCTAATGAATTTCACGAAAGGAACACCCTTATCTGATCAAGTTATGCTTGGTCTTTCGGAAAATATGCCTCTACTGGTGGAATATAAAATGGACGATGCTGGTTATATTAGATTTTATCTTGCACCAAAGATTGGCGAAGAATAATTTGGGATTTTTTTTTTTTAATTTTGAAAAAAAAAAAAAAAAAAATTAAAAATAATAATAATAATAATAATTCTAGAATGTATATATAATTCGGCCCGAATTTATACTATACAATAATAAATTCAATAAAAATTTGTATAAAATGATCTGAAAGCTAATTTTGATCAAATGATTTTACTGTTTCGTTGCCAATGTGTAACGCGCCAAACTTACTTTTATGAGTTGAGTTAAGCCCGCTTTCACGTGAGCTTTTTTACCCTTGTAGCTTTTTTGAATCCCAAACCTTCTAAAAAAAGCCCTTAAAGACTAGTAAAAAGACCAGCTAAACTAGTTTGATTCTAGTTTGGGTAGAAAAAATCCACACACAGGAATGACCGTCGTTATCGTTATATAATTATGCATAATAAAATTGTGACGGTCATATGGTGTCCGCTTAACTTTACTATCCCCGAAAAATCCGAATAATTTTAGTATGAAATTTTAGAAAGAGATCAACGTGTTTTATCTAATTTGTTAAATATAAACAAAATATTTTTTTTGGCGTTTGTTTTGATGTTTCTATAATAAATCAGAACCCAATATTTTTATTCAAATGAAAAGACGCAGCTTCGGTCGTATGTCATTATTGTTTTGACAAAAAAGTGTTCAGACTGACTGAAGAAAGGTTCAGTTCAATTTGATTATAAATTATAAATTGGGAATTTATTTATCTGAACCATAACAAAAAAGTCTTTTCACAATAAAAAAAAAGTCTTACTAAAAAGAAGTAGCAAGGTTATATGCAGAATTCTTCCAATTGTAATAACGCGTCTCTCGATAACCCTCGAGAAAGTCAGGCAATGTCGAATAATGCTCAAATTGGGGAACAAAATTTTATTCCAGCTTCTATGGTACAGAATATACTTGAATGGCAACGTCAAGCTTTAGAAAGTAATTTGAACGAATAAACAATTTTTTTTTTCTCTCCCTCCTCTCTTTGATATTTATCAAGAAATGACTGACATTTATCTATTATAAATAAAATTTATAAGCTATTAGGGAACAAAATAAAGTTAACCATGTCACCCAACGACAAAATAATGCTCTTATTCAGAAAATTGATATGTTGCAGCATCGTATTAATGACTCTAAGCCCCACGACAAAGATTTGATGGACCTTGATAACGTGATGTCAGACACTGAAGACATCAAGGAAAAACTTGGAGAGTAAGCACGTGTTTAAAATGGAATTGTTTACAATTAATTAATCATTGCTAAATTTATGATTTTATATAAAGTAATCCACGAGGATCCTCTTCGAATGACGTATTATTCATTAAAGACATTTCTACTAAATTACGTCATTCACCTAATGTACTCCTGGAAATCGAAAGGTATTCATTCAATACATAATCTTTTGCTTGATTTTAATAAAATAAATTCTTTGTTGTTTCCTCATTATTATTATTATATCGTTTTGAAATCATGTAGGAGAAAACATTTGAAAGCTCTTGAGGATTTGAACGATGAATGGCATTATAAATACACAACATTGCAAACTAAATTTGAAACGCAACACAAAGCGTATCAAGAACTCAAAGAACACTACCAAAAAAGATCTGTTGAATGGAAACGTGTGAAAAAGTGGTTGGATGAACAAAAATATGCGCTAAAGAATCCCGAATGTACGAATGAATCGACTAATAAAGATACTAAAGTTCAATTTGAAAAATCTCCAACGATCATTCATGATATCATTAATGATTCAAAGACAGGTGCTCTTACCGAAGTGACAAACACGCGTAACCAAAGCTCTCTTCAAAATCTTGAAAATGTTGCATCAACTGATGAACACGTATCTGATGTCAATAAGGCATTGATACTTGGGTCATCATATAATAAAGGTGATGATGATGTTTTTTGCAAGGATAATATTCGAACTTCACATGATATATTATCTTCTCCGAATCTATTACCTGGATCAATGTTGAAAAATGATCTTGATAAAACACATAATCTTGAGTCAAAACCCATTTATCATGATCGGGATTGGAACCAAGACTACGTTGACCTACGAAATGACTTTGATCACAATATGATTAATGTAAATACGGAAATTCAAAATTCAAACAAAGGGAATGAAAATGATAAAGAACCGAAAAATAAAAATAAAAACTTGGGATTACTCGAAGGTACAACGCCCGAACTTGCGATTAATCTTGAAGATAGCTTTTATGAATTCACTTTGGATGATGATGACCAGTCATCAAACAAGAAAAGGACCATAGATAAAATGATCAAGCAAGAGGAAATTGAGAACGATGAATTGTTTTCTGCTGAAGTAACTAATAAACGTTATAAGCCTTTAACTGTTAAACCAAGAGATGATTTACGAGAAGAATTCGAAGAGGATGAAGAGTTTGATGAAGTTCACATAAGAACTCCTTATAGCGATCGTTTCAAACCGGATTCGAAAAGGTCGCATGCATCAACTGACGATATGTACGAAGATAACGACGCTGATTATGTCGATCCTTTGATACCTATTACACCACCTTCCATTGTGAATAAATGCGTGACCAATAATAATAGTGATGCTTCTAAACAAGGAGAAGGTTATAGATACATCGAAACTGTACGAAAGAAGAACGAAAGACGCCAATTGATGGCGCAAGATTGTCGTGATTGTCGTAAAGTAAATAATTTCATATATAATCAAAAGAAAAATTAACATTTATTTATTATTTTCTATATGTTGAAATATTCCTTTCCTAGTACTATGAAATGACAGGTTTCAGTATGTTACGAACATGTGATCATAGCCAATCGTCGGTAAATGATTTAGAAACCTTAATACAAAATAAGAAACAGTTGCTTTCGCGGCATCGTGCCAAATATAGTCGTCCACAAACTCCACCGGGTTTCTGGAAAGTTGGTTTCCCATCATCACAAGAAATTGCAGAAATCAACGAATTATCAGTCAAGTATGAACGAGAAAGGGAAGAACAAAAGAAGAGGGAGGTGGAATTTGCTAAATCTCGTGAACGAAGATGGACAACAAAATAAGGATGATGTGAATACAATCAATTTCAAAAGTGAGACCAGCATCAAAGTAAACAGGCAAAACGAAAAAAAGAAAAAAAAAAAATTATTATTAATTATTATTATATATAATCTCCAATTTATTAATTTTTATTCACATTAAAAGGGTTCAATTCATATTTGGTATTTATAGTTAATCTTTTATTGTAATAATAATAACATTTTTTATCTACGAGAATAATTAGGGATACAACTATATTAGGTAGAACGATTATATAAAAATACATGATTTATCATCATTATTCGTTATTCGTTATTCGTTATTCGTCAAACAAAACATGTGACAACGTGTAATGAATTATCCCAAAAATAACGTCAGTTTTCGGGGTGTTTATATAATCTTTTCTATAATAGTATCGTGTTACATTCCCGTTGAGTAACAGTAAATCAACCCATCCATCTTTCAAACCCTGCCTTTCAACAATCTTCCCCCTATTCTTGGTAGAATGATAAGTGTGATACATTAATCATCACCGCTAAAACTAATCTGCGTACCACAACCACTCTCAAAGAAAATTTTTTATTTTACGCGTCCACTAATATTAAACTTGCATAACTCACATATCTTATTGCAATTTTGAAACTATTTCAACAAAATGTTGATAACTTTTCTCGTTAAACGAGAAATGGAAAAAAGTATAATTATAAGTTCTTTGAACATAGGAAAAACCTAAAAAACTTCAGTAGGATGATTGTGTATATTTTTATATCACCAATTCATACATCTTTTTTGATAATTCAAACGATTATAGGAAAAAATTAAATATGGTTATCCCTTTATCTAAATATCATCTCAATCAATATGATGATAATAGAAATCCGGTAAAAATTCTAAATTGGTATAATATTATTATTATTCCTATGAATGTAATTTTTATTTATCAAAAAAATAAAATAAGGGACATTTTTTTAATTAATTTTTTTCAATGTACAAAACATTATAAATCAATAACACCTTGGTTATTATGAATGGTTGCAATGTTTTAGTTTGTTCTCGAGAATTTTTTTTTTTTTTTTAGTTAGATTAAATAACTTATTAAAAACATCCATTAAAGGTAAAATATTCAATCTCTACATGTATTAATTAATTACCAATTCGAATTCGGGAATTGATTAACCGAACGAAAATGTGCGACTTTGCACAAGAATCTACTGCGCTTTTAAATTCAAAGGATGTTATCCTTGCGATAATTACTTCACGTCACTCCTCTCAAACAACTAACCTCTTAATAATAAATTTTCTTATTAAAATCCTTTGCAAATTGTCTTCAAATATGTATATTTTTTTGAACTAGTTTGTATTTGTGTGATCACGCCATATGATGCATGACCTAACAAAATTAATGCGCGGCCACAAAATTTGTTCTCGCCAATTACCGTGATGTTTCGATGAACTCTCAACATTTTTTTATTTTTTAGACAAATTATTTGCCAAGAAAAAAAAAAAGAAACACATGTAATACGTATTGGTGATTTTCGTGATTAAAAGAAATTCGCTGCGGTACAAATAAAATCGATCGGAAACGATTAATCGCGATTAAAAACAACTAAAAATTTTCTGTATATCAAAACAAACCAATACAAAAATGTGTATTGGTTTCGTGAGGGAACGCACCTAAAAATAGAAACGTAATTAAATATATTTGATGATAAAAAAAAAAAAAAATTATTAATTTGAATTCTTAATTCATATTTGAATATTTGATGCACTCGATAATTAGGAAACACCTAAATTTAGGTAGAAGGATTGTAAAATAAGTTACACAATTTACATTATTATCCGTTACAAACAGCATTACCATGTGAGTAAATGAAAAGTTCCTCTATAAAAAATTTTTTTTTAACTTAAAAATCATTACGAAAATATGTATATCGATATAACCATATTCATTAATAGCATCGTGTTACTCTCGCGTAACAGTAAATTTGCCCTTCTTTCCTTTCTTTCAAATGTCTAAAAAAAAAAAAAGGAACCAAACTTGAAACAAAATAATAATTATGAGTAATCAAAATAATTATTCGGAATTACAATCGTGTTACAAATTCTACTTTACCCCCTTTGGTTCTTTGGGTTATCTATAAAATGGATGTGATCATTAATCATCACCGCTTTTCGCTAAACAAATCTGCATATCACCTCCACAGCTGATTTTCTTTTTTAAATAAAAAAATGTTGTAATAACTTGCCCTACCCGACGGTCGATGTTTACTACTTGTCTACACTCTCTTTCAAAAAAAAAAAAATAAAAATAAAAATAAAATAAGAAAAAAAAAAAAAGGAATAAAATTTTATTTTACGTGTCCTCCAATATTAAACTTGCATAACTCACATATCTTATGCAATGACCGAACTAACCTTAACCATTTCAACAAATGTTAATAATTTATCTCGTTTACCGAGAAATGGGAAGAGTAAAAATCATTCTCCTCTAACGGAAGAAAATTTAAAACTTCATACTGGGATGGTATGTTCGTTTTCTTTCTTTTATTTAACGCTTATATATAATAATAATAATATATATTATTATTATTATTATTATTTTACATCCGTCCAGATTTAGTACTCGTGTAATATGTTACGGATAATTAAATCGATGAATTAATGTAGTTTAGCTTAGAACATTCATTATTGTGAAATTAGAAATATTAACTTGCTTAATTTATTTGATCAAGTTAATAATAATGATGATTTTTTTTTTATTTTTTATAAAAACAAAAAGGTTATATCTTCACTTATCGTACCCTTCTTCATAATTTAGATGCCTTCGTCACGAGAAACCAAAACGCATTTTGTATTGGTATACGTTGATTTACAGAAAAAATTAGTTGCTTTGGAGGCTCAATTAAGAAAAGAAGCTCAAGAAGCCGAAAAAAGATTTAGTGCATCTTTACCAGAAAATACACCACCTGTCATACCTGAAGTAATAAATGTACCATCATTATCAAATTCTAGATCAATTCCTAAGGATAAAGGACATACTTCACCCTTTCCAACAAATGATATTTATTCGATTGAACCTGAAGCAATCCCTAAACTTTTGGACTCTGTAATAGATCATAGAAGAAAGTCACAACGCATAAAATTCATATTTAAAAAAACTGCAAAGAAATTATCTTCTGTAATAGGGAAACCATCCAATAATAATAATAATAACAATAATAATAATAATCATAATCATCATAACTTAACTTCGTCTCCTTTGACATCTCATTTCGATAGAGATTTAGCGTCTTTAAGAGCACAACCTTCAATACCACCATCACCTTCTCAGTCAACCGTAAGATCAAGGAATTCTTCTCATCGAAAAGCACCTTTCATTACCTATTTATCAAAACCAGTTCCTAACAGGACCAATAGTGCGGACACAATGCACACCCTTTCTGTTAATCCAACGACTCCCTCATCATCTCTTAATAATAACGTTTATAATTATAATTCTTCCCCTTCTTTACCCCCTACTCCAAATACGATAACCCATTTTAATGTGGAAAAAAGGCATGAACTTTCTTCATTAATAAATAACTCTACACCGCCTTCTCCTGGTATTGAAAAGTGCGAAAACGATGCTTGTAATGTACATCGTGATAGCGGAATCTCTTTGGTATCTCCCGTAAAGCCTGGTCACCATTCACGTGAACACTCAATTTCTTCAATATTACGGAAGATGGGAAGTCGTCATGCTTTTCAGAAAGAACATCATCATCAATTTGATGGTCATCGTAAGGAAAGGGGTTGGGCCCCATTTTCACCCAAGGATAATGATACGGAATTATTAGCATTTCGTTATCCAAGTATACATAATACTGATATTTATATTCATAGAGATTCTAGTGGGATGGAGGAACAAGATAATAGTAGCAGCAGCGGCGTTGCGCTCATTTCAGAATTAGATGGTAGTACTGGGAAACAAAAAGAAAGAGAACGCTCAGTGACATTTGATTTGGATGATCAACAAGTGTTAACATCAGATGAAGAAACCGGATTGGATAAGAGGAAAGGAAATAGAGGCTTAAATTCAACAGTGATTCCTCATATTGATTTATCAGATTTGAGTAGTTTACCTATGATGGATTTTAAATAATGGAGTTATTTAAATATATTTAAAAACCCAAACGAACAATCTTTACCTGTATCAAAAAGAATATTCATAATTCATGAATAACTTCCGATTTTTTTTTTTTTTTTTTTAGCTTTAAATCTTAATCAATTTTACAAAAGAAAAAAAAAAGGGGGGGGGGTAAATTACCAAATTATAATAATTGAATGGTGGAATGATTTATAATGTAAATAACGGATATATTTCGAATTAATAGGGAAACGGTATGTGCAAAAAATAAAAGGAAAAAGAAAAAAAAAATAAAAAATAAACTAAAAATGTTTTTGGTTTAATAATTATTTGAAAAAATCACATCATTAGTAAAACGAATAAAACGTTTATATTGACAACAGATCAGATTTATATTTTATTATACAATTTTTTTTTTGGTAAATTAAATAATTTTTTACCAATACAGGATTCTATTATCAGCATATATATAATAAAACATTGAATTTAAATAATCATTTATTTAATACCTAATTCCTTGGGTCATAATCGAGAAAACAAATAAAATGATAATAAACGGAGAAACATATTTAGTTTTTTTTCTTTTGCCTTAGCAATGGAAACAGTATTATAGTAAAAATATATATATATATATATATATATAAATACACTCACATCCTATATTTACACACTTCAGAACAAGGAGCTGTATCTCCATGGAATTCATAAGAAATCTCTATGTCCAAGTCTCGATTGTTTCGTTTATTAGGAGCGCAAGATAAAGTACCCATGATGGATTCACCACTTTTTATAGTGATGGCGTCAGTAGTATAAAAAACAGTCTGTTTCCAATGTGTGTATTTAGCATGTGGACCTATATGATTTCGAATAATCATCATTAACGAATGTTATAAATACGATAATAGTAAATATATATATATAAGTAAGGCTATAAAACAAATCAAACCTGTACTAAATCTAATTGGTTTATGACAAGCTGAAAAAATAATATCAAACCATGCGATAAAAGCGTGAATATAATCATCCCTTGTGGCAGTTAAATTAAACTGTACACAGAAGGATAGGTCGGATTTTTGAACAGTGTATATATCAATCTCCTAAAAAGAGAGAGAGAGAGAGAGAGAGAGAGAGAGCGGCAAAATATTTGGTAAGATAATTAAAAACGCACTCTCTGAAATATCTGAAATATGATGATACCTTTATGGAATATGGACTTGTTACTATAGCTTTAGCGTCCACGGTGTCCACTAGAGGCTCCCTAAGGGCAACAGATTTAATTGAACTAAAGTCAAACCCATAAACATTATCCCAGACTGTTGAAATATAAAAAAAAAATCATTGGTTACAATATTAAATAAATTAAAATTCATAAAAAATATCATATTTACATCCGATTTTTTCTTCTTTATATTCACCATCTTCGATGGCTGCCAGATAAATTGTTGCTTTGTCTGGAAATATTAACCCACCCTGTCTCTAATTAATCATATCGAAAGACAACGTTAATCATTTGATCAATTAACACATTTAATAACGAATCATTGATTACTTACTAAGTATTTGTCGCGCGCAACAAGCACGGTGTCAAGCATAGACTCATAAAGCAAAAAATACCCCATCCATTCTGAGATGATAATATCAACTTTCTCAACTGGAAGTACGACTTCTTCCATTTTGCCTTTGATAAGGGTGATCTCTAAAAGGCATACAATGATCATAAATACAATATTCTGATTGGGATACAAGAGTATAAAGATATTACTAATCCGTACTATCATCTAAGTTATTATCAACGACAATTTGACGCGCTTGATCAATAATATTTGACATGTCAATCTAAGAATAAAAACTAAATTATTTAAAATTATAATAATAAGATAACTTTATATGAGTGACTATGACACTTACTCCATAAACATGCTTAGCTCCAGCTTTGGCTGCAAACATTGACAATATTCCAGTTCCACAACCAACATCAAGAACGATTTTATCTTTAAAAAGATGCCGGTTTTGGTAAATAGACGAACGGTAAGAAAGCGTTCGAACTTCGTCTTTTAACATTTCTTCATGTATGCCGAAATGGGCGTATGAGTCAAAATAATAGTCTTTGCTCGTCATTTCTACATTTTCAATTTGATCATGACTCGAAGGTTCAGCCATCTGTGCTTGTTGTGGGTCAACCATTATTGCTGGTTGGTCGGCCATTTTTCGTCGTTGATAGAGAATCAGATATTCCCGAGATTAACTTCAAGGTGTGACATCAACATCGTGTGATGAAAATTGTCCTGTTTGTAGTAATGTTAGTGCATAATAGGAAACAAAAGGAAAAACTCCATATAATCACGTGATGAATGATTATATCCGCAGCTAGGCAGTATTATAAAAACTGCTTAGTTATCAAAAGCGGTCATTTTTCTCAAAGTTTTAAAATGAATCGATTTAGTACTCAAAATACTCAAGGTACTCAGGACGATGAGAATTTTTCTTTTTTGGAATATTCCGGGGGAGATACTCAAGCTTCGCAATATGATTATGACTTTTCACTTGAATCTCAACAAACCAATACTTTTCTCGACGGCTCGCAGTCTCAATTCGTTGAGCCAGATTTATCCGGTGTAGGTGTTGACGAATTAGACGCGTTCCAAGACCTTGCTATTGTTGAAAGAGAATTACCGGAACACTCATGCAGGTATGTCATAGTCCTTTTTTTTTTTTGATTACCCCATTTAAGGTTGCCTAACGTTTTAAGCCTATTTCGCTAGGTATTGCGGTATACACGCAGTAAATTCGGTAGCCAGATGCGTGACCTGTAACAAATGGTTTTGTAATTCTCGCGGAAATACCTCTGGTTCTCATATAATCAATCACCTTGTTCGGGCAAAACATAAGGAAGTCGCTTTGCACCCGGAATCGCCACTTGGCGAAACGACGTTGGAATGCTATAATTGTGGCTGCAGGAACGTCTTTTTATTAGGATTTATTCCGGCTAAGAGTGACACGGTTGTGGTATTGCTTTGTCGGTAAATTTTAAAATGAATTAACCAAATTTTTCTCAGTTTTTTTTTTATTTAAAAAAAAAAAAAATTATTGATAAAAAAAAAAACCTTTTCTCATAAACTAGGCAACCTTGTGCTGCAATGCCTAGCAGTAAAGATATGAATTGGGACACCTCTCAGTGGCTTCCTCTCATTGATGATCGTTGCTTTCTTCCATGGCTTGTTAAAGTACCTAGCGAACAAGAACAACTTCGAGCTCGTCAGATCACTGCACATCAAATTAATAAGCTCGAAGAATTGTGGAAAGATAATACGGAAGCAACTCTTGAAGATTTAGAAAAACCTGGTATTGATGATGAAGCACTACCTGTTTTATTGAGATACGAAGATGCCTATCAATATCAAAATATTTTTGGACCTTTGGTAAAGATGGAAGCTGATTATGACAAGAAATTGAAGGAATCTCAGACTCAGGACGATATTGTAGTACGATGGGATGTTGGGTTAAATCAAAAGCGCATTGCTTGGTTCTACTTACCAAAACTTGAATCAGGGGGTATGTTACATTATTAATTCATTATTAGAATTTAAAAAATTGCTGATCAGAATTACAATATTTATTTTATATGAAAATTTTTTCCCCCTAGAGGTTCGTTTGGCTGTCGGCGATGAATTGAGACTTCGTTATCGTGGTGAATTGCATCCATCATGGGAGTGCGTCGGTCATGTAATAAAAATACCAAACAGTAAGTCAATAATAGAATATTTAACTTTCTATCATATAATTATCTTACTATTACGTATATTGATATATAGATGTAAGTGATGAAGTTGGCTTGGAGTTGCGTCGTAGCGATAATACTCCAGTAGAATGTACGCATAATTTTTCAGTAGATTTTGTGTGGAAATCCACTAGTTTTGATAGAATGCAAGCTGCAATGAAAACATTTGCTGTAGACGAAACCTCAGTTAGCGGTTATATCTATCACAAGCTTTTAGGTCATGAAGTAGACCCCCAAGTCCTGAGAACACAAATGCCAAAAAGGTTCATATATTTTTAAAGTTATATAAGTTATATATTATTTATCCATGAGCCATTTCAAGAATTATTATATTATATTGGAGTTGTTAGTGTTGACATTTATCTTGATATTTATCTCTGTGATTTAGATTTTCTGCTCCAAACTTGCCAGAATTAAATCATTCACAAGTATATGCAGTAAAAAGCGTTTTGCAAAAACCTCTCAGTCTCATTCAAGGTCCTCCCGGTACTGGTAAAACTGTTACTTCAGCCACCATTGTTTATCATCTCGCCAAGATGAATCCTGGTCAAGTTTTAGTTTGCGCACCATCAAATGTTGCTGTAGATCAGTTAACCGAAAAGATACATGCAACTGGACTCAAAGTAGTTCGTCTCACCGCAAAATCTCGTGAGGCACTTGATTCTCCTGTATCGTTTCTCACATTACATGAACAAGTGCAAAATAATGATACTCATGTCGAACTGCAAAAATTAATACAGCTCAAGACAGAACAAGGAGAATTGAGCAGTTCTGATGAAAAAAAATACAAGATGTTGAAACGTGCATGTGAAAGAGAAATTTTGCAGGTATGTAATAAAAAATTTAAACCGGTCTTCTCGGCGTTTTTAATTTGTTCAATTATTAATTTGAGCAATGATTTTGAATTAGAATGCCGATGTCATTCTTTGTACATGTGTGGGTGCTGGTGATCCACGTTTATCAAAATTCAAATTTCGCACCGTTTTAATTGATGAAGCTACACAGGCAACTGAACCTGAATGTATGATACCGCTTGTGTTAGGATGTAAACAAGCTGTTCTCGTCGGTGATCATCAACAGCTTGGCCCTGTAATAATGAATAAAAAAGCTGCTAGAGCAGGATTGTGTCAATCACTTTTTGAACGCTTAGTTATTTTGGGTATAAGGCCTATTCGACTACAAGTTCAATATCGTATGCATCCTTGTTTATCAGAATTTCCTAGCAACATGTTCTATGAAGGTTCTTTACAGAATGGAGTTACTACTCAAGATAGATTGAGAAAACACGTGGATTTTCCTTGGCCAGCCCCGGAGACTCCCATGTTTTTCCATTCAAATCTAGGCCAAGAGGAAATTTCAAGCAGTGGAACTTCCTATCTGAATCGGTGAGGATACTTCGAATCCTTTTTGGTTTTTTTAATGGTTTGACTTAAATTTAATGATTTATAATTATATAAATGAAAGTACGGAGGCTTCAAATTGCGAGAAAGTTGTCACAAAGTTCTTAAAATCAGGAATTTTGCCGGCTCAAATAGGAATAATTACTCCATACGAAGGTCAAAGGAGTTATGTTGTTAGTTATATGCAATTTAATGGCTCTTTAAGAAAGGAATTATATAAAGAAATCGAAGTAGCAAGTGTTGACGCTTTTCAAGGACGTGAAAAAGATTATATAATATTGAGTTGTGTCCGAAGCAATGAACATCAAGGAATAGGGTTTTTAAATGATCCTAGAAGATTGAACGTTGCTTTAACTCGGGCACGTTATGGTGTTGTAATTTTAGGTAATCCTAGGGTTCTAAGCAAGGTATGAAATCATTTCACTTGTTATGGGAATTTTAATTTCATTGGACATGAATATCAAATTCTATCTTTTGCTCTATAGCACCCTTTATGGCACCACCTTCTTGTACATTATAAAGATAAAAATTGCTTAGTGGAAGGTGCATTAAATAACTTAAAAAAGAGTATGATACAATTTAGACCTCATAGAACTTATCGAAAGGATGAAAAGTTTAGGCAAGGTTTAGTACACCAAGTTGATGCGCGCGAAGCATTTGCCAAAGCTCCTCTTGCTAGCGAAAGTATGTATCATATCGGTTTTTTATAACACGTGTTAAAAAATAATCATTATTCATTTACAATGAAAATAATTTATGCTTTTAGATCGTCGTGGTAGTCGTGCTTATGACTCAGATTTCATGAGGACACATGATCCCGTTGGCTACATTCCTTCTGATATGAACTCCATTCCATCATCATCTCATTTCAGCATTCCCTTACTTCCAACACCAAACGGACCATTTACCCAAGATTTATCACAGAGTAGTGTTTCTAGCAGGAAAAACGCAAAACAACAAAATTCTTCTTATGGCGGGTATACCAATTCAATTTCATCTCAAGGTCCATTAACTCAAAACGCATATAGTAGTCAAGGATCTATGAGCCTCGCACTATCTCAGTCTGATCGGCTTCGTATGATGGAGAACCCAACTTCTTTAAGCCACGGCTCCCTAATGTCACAAGATAGTTCGATTGGATATTTGGACGATTACAAAAGTCAAGGAAATGATACTATTTTAAGTCAAGACTTCGAGATTCGGTCTCAAACGGGATGCTAGGGATGTTAACAGTCAAGTCTTTTTCAGACTAGCCTTTTCGGTCTATGGCCGGTCCGGGCCCCGCGGTGACGTCAATTTTATAGACCGTAAAGAATCCAGGCTGCTTTATTATGTGATCTTATTTAGATGAGTGGCCTCTGATACGGATCAAGCATATATGACCAACGTTTTGCAAAGACCGCAGGACCCGACCGTTATCATCCCTACAGGATGTATTAATAATTATAAAAGTAAGTTGACTAAATTTTCTCGCGTTAAATGTGTTAGAATTGTCATAAATTGATTATTTTATATTTATTTTTTAATAATTATATGCATTCTTTAGGTGTCATTGTTATAAGAATAAAAATCATGTTCGTAATACTACTATCCAAAATTTAGATTTACAAGGTTAATTTAATAGGATTAAATTTTGTTAATGTTTCTTTATATTAATGTTTACTTTTTTAATTTTTATACAATTTTTTTTTTTTAATTCATATTACCCATATTATTTTTATATATGATATTGTTCGTTTAGTTTAATTTAAGGGTAGATGAGATATATGAATAAAAACCTAATGTTACTATTTTTTGCTAATATTTATACGTAACGGAGGTTCATAACTAATTTATATAATTATGATAAAAACTTTTATAAAAATAAATAATTTTTTCTCTATATATATATATATTTTATGATAATTTAAAGTAATTGTTACAGCATTTTTCAATAAAGAAAAAATTCGTGTAACTATAATTTAACTATCGCAAAAAGTTCTGAATTGATGCTGAATTGTTTGTCCAAATTGGCGTCGATTTAGGCTGATTTATAATTGAAATTAAGTTCCGAATTAATGCATTCTTTTTTTTTTATTTGGTATTTCGGTTCTGGAAAGTGTCCTCCAACCTGCTTTACGAGGCCCCCAGTGGGTCAAGACTTAAGATGGGCTAAGAGTTCCATAGGTCTATTTTAACCCCGTTTGATCCAACTAATAACCAGCCCAACAGGTGTTGTATCCCGGTCTATAGACATACAAGTATTACCCAGGCATTGTTATTACCAGTGATGTGCATTTGGAAGATTGAAAGCACTCTTGGAAGTATCTTTGAAAGGATTGGAAGCATAATTCTCTAATAAATTCATTTGGATTGGAAGTTTCTAATCAAATTTTTATACTATTGGAAGCATAAAACGCACATCACTGATAAATTATTACCATTACCATCAAATCAAACCCTGCTTTTAACCCTAGAATAGGATCTAGACATCACAAGAGGTGAAGACAGTACAATATCATACAACTAAAACTTATATACTTTTTAAGTAATATCTAAGCCTGTTCAAATTTGGTCTGTTAGATTTTTCTTTTATTGTATCACTAAATTAAGCAAATAATATTTAATAATTTAGTTCAAAAATTAAATAACTTTAGGTTGATTTTTTTGGTTTAAATTTTTTTTTAATATTTAATTTCAAATAAAAACAAAGAAACATGTAATGTACAAATAACTATTTAAAATTTATTTTGCTTTTATTGGTTTCTGTCTCCATTTTTTTGTTTTTGAACTTTTAACTTCAGAAAATTTTAGAGTCAAAAGTTCTGATTTAGTTTTGTATTATACTAATCAATCAAATCAAACTTTAAATCAATCAAAAATCAGATTAACCAAATTTGAATAGACAAACTTGCAAGTATTTGTCTATTATAGGGTAGGAAGACTTTTGAATAATTAGTCAATCAGATTATATAAATTTATAATTGATATTATAAATATTTATATATGTCATATAATATATAGGTACTTTATAATAGAAATGAAGAAAACTATCAAAATATTTTTTAAGTTAATGTTAAATATTAATTAATTTTACTAAAAAAAAAATAATATTTAACTTATAAAATAAAAAATTTTTTAATAATTTCTTCCCTTTTTATTGCAAAATGCTCATATGATAATATAGGTACTTTGTAGTAAAAAGGGTGAAAACTCTAATCTATTTAATTTGAAATAATCAAGTTTAAAATTTTTGTCACATGTAAATAAATCAACATTTGTAATAATAAAAATATATCATAATTAAAAATAGATTTGCTAATCATTTTAAGTTTTTTAATATAAAATTTTATTCTATATTACATTTGAAAAATTTGAAGTAAAAGTTTATATAAATAAAATAAAATTAATTTGCTTTGTTTAATAGTTATGCAAAAGTCATATACTAAGTAATAAAAAACAATTACAATTAAAAAATTAAAAAAAAAAACACAGTATTATTATAAAATATTATTTATATTAATAAATTTAATTATAATTATCTTTTACCATAAATCTAAGCTAACTGATGAATTTTACTCTAGTAGTTTAGGTTAAATACGCTTTTTATCATCTTTCATAAAACTAATAATTTATTATAATACTGATAATGGTAATCTAAAATTTTCCTTTTTATCAAATTATAATAGGTAGTAAAAATGATAATTGTTAGTTATTATTTATTAAAAATAGCTATTCTATCTGAAGATAAATTTATATTTGTAATAGCTAGTACTTCATCTATAATCAGTTAGATTGTATTTTTTAGAATAATTAGATTTTTCAGCACAAATCTATACTTAGTTAAAATTTTATCCTATTAATCAAAAAAAAATATTTCATTGTAAAAAAAAAGTTTTTTTCAAATATAAAAATAACAAATTATAAATAATTACATATTTATCTATTAATAGCTGTATTTCAAATTCATTATTATGAAATTATAAAATAATTACTATGCTATTATATGAATAAATATAAAAGTATATACCATCAGGTGATCTAAATTATACTGTAACAGGATTGGATTGATGAATGTGACGCAGTATATTGCAGATCTAAATATCAGATATATCAGATATATTTGATATATTTGATATATTTGATATACTGAACATATTAGATATAATTGATATATTAGACATGTCAGACATATGTGACATAACTGATATATTAGATATATTCGTTATATCTTTCTATATAATATATTTTATATAAATAGGTAACTTGTTAATTCATGTAAAAGGAGGAGAAGGTAGCTTGGGTGGTTTTAGCAATGAGTGAGATATTGTTAGCCGACGTAGGTAACCAATCCTGAAGGCCTATCACATTATGTTACAGTTTAGAGGCAATCAGGCCTATCATATTACGTTACAGTTTAGAGGCAACTAAGCCTATCACATTACGTTATAGTTTAGAGACAACCAGGCCTATCACATTACGCTACAGTTTAGAGGCAACTAGGCTTATTGCATTACATTTTAGTTTTTGTATTACTCTTCTTTTCTTTTCTTTATTATTATTTTACTCGTGAATAAACATAATATTTACAAATACACACCACTGGCAATCTGTTGAATCATAACTCGTTGTGATAATATAAATACTTTGATAAATTATCTGTGTTAAAACTTTTAAACTGTTGAAAGATTACTGCTCAATTAAAAAGAACAAACCGCTCAAACACCCCATCTAACTGTCGCAATTTGCAAGGATTGCACGTTAACAATATCAAACATTATGATCAAACAGTTTTTAATAAACAAATAAAAGTCATACATTTCAAGTTACCTAAATAGAAATACTGTAATATTGATTTTCTATTATGCTTATACTGTCAATATTTGCAGATTTAGAAGATTATAGATCAGCATTCTCACTCTTAGATATTATAAAAATAATTGAGTTGAATAGCTATATCATTAGATTAGTATAATTGATATAATTTATTATTTATTTATTTATTTTAAAAAAAAAAATAACAAAGAATATTATTAATATATACCATCATTTTAATGATAAAATAATAATCAATAAAACATTAAGTTTCTATTTATCTTTATTAAATATTGCAGTAACTAGAACAAATTAATAAATATTTATTAATAAAAAAAATTTATGATAAAATATTATTATGAGTAAGTATTTTTTTTAGTTTTAATATATAATAATAAGTTAATTAAAAATAAATTATTTATAAAATTTATAATTAAAAATTTTTTGTATTTAAAATGAATTAGTTCTAAATATTAAAATCAATTCCAATTTTTACTTTAGATCATAAAATTAGAATCAAAGATAAATTTTATTAGAAAATTATTTAAATAAAAAAAATTATTTAAAAAAAATTATAATAATTATCTTACTTGACTTGTTTTGTAAACTGGTTTGAATTTTGGATCTTATAATTAGAAAAAATATTTATTTTGTATATCACTATTAAATAATAACTTTTACTTATTAAAAAATTATTTTTTAAATAAAAATTTATGATAATAAAGAAAGGTTTTTAGACTAAAATTCATTAAGATAATCAAAGAAAAAAATATTAAATAGCTAGTTTCAAAATATTTAAAATTTATTTATGATTGCTATTTATTTAATTTTTTGTTTTAAAATTTTATATTTTACAGTAAACATTTTTTCTTTTTTAAAAAAACACTACTACTTTTTTTTTAATATTGTATTTAGTAAAACATTTTTTAGTTTACTATTATTATATTTTTTTTTGCTTTATTTTACTATTAATATTTTAATTATAATTTCAGAATATCAAATTTTTTTTAACAATATTTTTAATAATACACATTTAGAATTAAAATCTTATAAAATTAAATGAAAGAAATTCAAGCAAATTATCAATCAAATGAAAAGCAATACCTTTTACTAATAGTAAATTCATTTTAATTTTATCTATTTTAATTAAATCTGATTTAAATGATAAGAATATAAATAAATCAATTTTATTATTTAAATATAAAATAATTTATTTAAATAATAAAATTGAATATATTAATAAAAATAATAATGATAATTCAATTTAAAAAATAAAAAAAATTAAATAAAAATGATGAAGGAGCTTAACTTAAAAAATTGCAAACAATTTATTATTGTAAAAAAATATGTCTTAAAAATTTAATTTTTCATAAAAATACTTTAATAACTTATCAAATATTTTTATTAGGATTTTTATCTGCAACTAT